AAAACCTATTGTATTATTACCAATCTTAAGGTCCCTGTCAAGTCTTCCAGGCCGCCTGAGTGCAGGTTCAATGCTATCTGGCCTGTTGGTAGCGGAAATCACAAGTACGCCATCAATTCTACTAGAGTAGCAACCATTCTTTGTGATAGCTCTTCACCTCCGTCCTTCCGTGCAGGGGCAATAATGGCATCCAGCTCATGAATAAATATCTATAAAACAAAAAACTGATATTAAGAGAAAGGAAAAGAGAATTGCATTGCCAAGGCAGTTGAAGGCAGAACATTTAAGATTCCAAGTGCAGTCATCAACTTTACTAAAAAAATTAAAGGATTTTATGTTCAGAAGATAACGTCAAAAATTAAACTAATCGTGACAAAGTTCAGCTGCGGCAATAGAAACCATATCTAGCTATATATGCTACTAATCCTCCAATGTCATTATAAAGTAGATATCCCATCCTTGAACATGTTTGCTACAATATATAACCCGCAGAAGGATGATAATATATAAAAAGGACGAAGGACTTTGGAGAGAAGAAATCTGAGCACAGAAGGTGCAGCTTTGGTAGCTGAATCAAAAACTTCACGCAATGCTTGCTCACTTGCTCCCCAATACTGACTAACAATCTCAGGTCCATTCACACGGAAAAGGTTGGCACCTGCATCTTGGATGCATAACCTAACCAAAGGGGTCTTACCCGTGCCAGGTGGACAGTGAAGAAACACCACCTTTGTAATTCGCAAACCAAAACTAAACCAAAACTATCCACATTTAAACTTAAATTAGTGAAATGAAAAGAAAGTGTGTTAGTGCATGAATGTGTTACTGGTATCTGAACCTGAGTCTATGACAAATCAAGGATATTTACAATTTTACAGAATACAAACTATCATTACAAAAGCGATGCAATGCAATGCAGATGAAATCAGTCATAAAAGAAACATGATGGAATGCAATTGAAATCAATTCTCTGTAAATCATTAACTGATATGTCATATTAAAAGTAACCTTCTTACTATGTATGGCCTTTTGAGTCACAAAATCTATGACTAGATCTCACAACAATATTCAACATAGCCGGGGCCCAACAAAACCATCTATTACATGACAGTTACTTGGATTGGAGAAGACTAAAAAAAATGTGATTTACCAATTATTGCAGAGATAAAGAAAACTGGAAATTATTACATTTAGGATAAATGTATCTCCCCTGTCCCTAAGATTAAAAATTTAATTAATAAACTATACGGTCCATAAATTTCAATATATTTCCGCCAATTTCATCTTAATTAAAGGGGCATTTAAACGTTCAAAATAAGTGGCTGAAGGAGTCGACATACCTTGACAAAGCATTCTTCAATCCTAACTATGTCTTAAATCTGGCCCATGTTCCTTTTAATGCCCTTTTTCGTTAGTTGTTGGCCCAATCAAAAGAATTCGGTATGGCTCAAAGGAAAAAGAAAGCTCAGCCCAAAAATAAACGAACAGAGAGAAAAAAAAAAAAGAAAAGAAACCGCCGGTGTCGGCTTTCCAGAATCCGGTGATTCACAGATTCCGGCCGAATACCTTCCTAATTCCACAGTTTCCAGCAACTTCAAGAAAAATTTAAGAAAAACTCAAGAAAATTACTAAAAATGGTCAGAACAGATCCTAGGCCTAAATCAAGTTAAACAGAGCTTATTCACAGGATAATTTCAGTAGTTCCAAACCTCAATTCCAGAAAATTTCAACCACAACAATCACCAAACAAAATGCAAAATAAATATGCATAAATCTAACAGCAAAAGTCAAATTCATAATAGAAAAGATACAAAAATTCGATTGGGAATATATAAAATAGATGTGAGAAGGTTTTATCAAGATATTTCATTTGGTTTGGAAAACAACTTTATTTTTAAATTTAATTATTCAGTAGTAATTTCAATTTACAAAGATCAAATTATGCAAGAAATACCAGATATTTTATAAGGAAAGTGCATAAATTGCGTTATTCTACTTCTTGAATGATACATTGTAATTTATATGTAAACATAAAGCCGCCAAACCCACAGATGTTGATCACCCTACTCATAAAGTTCAATACTTCGGTATACAATATTAAGGTCTAAAAAAAGCCAAATGAGTGAAAGGAATTCAATGCCTTCGCCTAACTGCTTAACGTGACTAATGTTCTGACTTGAAACCGCTGCATAAACAAGCATTTCTATCCAGACTTCCCTAATCAATTTCCATTTATTTTCTAATTGCTTTAAAAATGTGGCTAGTTTGAACACATCTTTCTTTAGGATTTGTTTCAATGTTGTCTCCCTGCACTTAAAAAAAATAATGAATTTTAGAAGGAAACAAGAACTAGTTTAATTATAATTTTATAATTCTATGAAATAAAGAAATTAAAAGCATCAAACCTGGAAACAACATTTCTTATATCAATTGCAGCAGACACACCTCCCTGTAGGTTTTCCATTGTTGACTCCTCACTGCAACTTGAAAAAAAAAATGAATCTTAGAAAGAAACAAAACTATACTTTAATTCTAATTTTATAATTCTATGAAAATAGGAAATAAAAAACATCAAAACCTGGATTCATGCTCCTTTTCATCAACAATATCTGGATTAGAAAGTAATGTGGAAGTAGCATTTGTTGTCTCAGTTGCAGAAAACAAAAGTTCTTTGAGCTTGTCATAAGCATGATCAAGCCAAAAACTCTTGCTCTGCTCAGGCAATATAAGGGCAGGACACATGGCCAGCAGATACATCATGTAATCTGATACTTGTTTACTAATTTTGGCCTCGTCATCATTATCATCATCACCCTGATGCTCTTGATAATAGCAAACACTTGTGGCAAGGTGCCATATTATGATGCTATAATCAAAGTCCAATTTTATGCTCCACCTTAGATCATCATATTGCTCAGCACTAAGTGCATTTTCCCCCCTTGAAGCTCGGAAGGAATCGCTCCGTATGAACGACCAAGCAGGGTGCAAGAAATTGCCTATGTCCATTAAATAACGTGGAACCGGATCGAATTTAGTGAACATGTATTTGTGCCACATGTCAGTAATATCATTGTTGGTGATCTTGTGTAGAATGCCACTTGATTGGTTCCCTTTCTTTTTCTTGTAAAGCAAACAATATCTTAACAGATCGAATTGTCCAATTTTATTTGACCAACTTTTACCTCGATGCAATAGCCAAGGCAATCTCTTTAAGGCTACGCTAAATATTTTGCGTACCAACAGATTATGATGAAACGCCGCAACAAAGATTGCCCAGTTAGAAGAAAGCATTACCCATGCTGCATAAAGTTCCAGTGCAACAGCTCCAGTCAATAAGATGCCCGTTATGGCAATATCAACTCTTGAGAAATGGAATTTTGGCTCATTAATGATGCTGATAAAGAAGAGCAGTACAACTGAGAAGGAGCTAATGAAACTGATGATGCGCAACGAACATCCTAACTTGGTGTAAATCAAAACAACTTTGGTGTAAACAACATCATATATAAATTCTAGTTCAACAGCAAAAATGTCGAAGGATAAGTCTACAAAAATATACATATCAAAATTCTTAAAAGGTTTAGCAGGGTCATCTATACCTATAGTTTCCTCGATACAAGTTTGTATCCTTAAACGAGTAGAGGTAGCACTATGGGAGGAGTGGTAATCATTAACATCAGGTCTCATAATTGTAAACAATAGATAACCTCCGAGCTTATTTGGGTTTTTGGCTCGAAGCTGACTAAGGGTTGAAGACTCAATGGGTTGAGGACCTTGAGTATTAAAGTTATTAAAAATGATTGGTTTTGTTTTTTGTGAATTATTGAATTTGAGACACAATATCTTCTCTACATATTTAATAATCCCAGCTAAGATGAGAGGGAGACTAAAAAATGAGAGCCAAGAAAAGGTCCACGATAAACAAATGACATAAACGACAAAAATGGCTTTGACAACAAGGATGAGGAGGTGCCTAATCCAAAGCTTGTTGTCTTCAAAAGCATAAGCTGTGATGGTGTCAGGGCCTCCCAGATGTAGCAAC